TCCCTTCCAGCCCTAATGTCTATGAAATCTATGAATACTTTCACTTAGGGGAAAAAAACCTTGTGACAGCTTTCTACAAAGCTTTATAATAGCTATACAACAAATCTTAGAGCCACTCAACATGTCAACTAATTACAAACAGAGTACAAACAGAGAAAAAAAAAGCTTATGCTAGAAATCTTTTAAGGGAGGGTACAGAACCCTGCTATCTAGCCCCCAGTGCTGCCCTTGGGTCTGTTCAGGGGCACAGCACACGCTAGTCAGGAGCAGGGCAGTCTGGTCCACGGATCCCTTTCCCCTCCCACTCCCCCAGCATACCTGATCTGGTGGCTGCTCTACTCTGTCTGGGATACCAGAGAGGCCAGAATGGCTATCACATACAATTCAGTTTGGCCAAAGCAGCAGCTGCACTGCATGCAGTGGATGCCCCAACTAGACTATGCCACACAAGGCACCTGCTCTGGGACACACGCCAGTCCCTGCTCCAGCCAGTCCAGGACCTGTGGTACACATGCGCTCAATGGCTCAGGTGTCCACTGCATGCAGCACAGCTGTCGCTCCAGCTGGACTGTGCTGCAAGCAGTGCCCATTCCAGCCCACAATTCAAATCAATGCAATGGGATGTGTAAAAGTAATAAGAAACCTGAACTTACTAGAAGTGAAACAAGCATGAGCTAGATTCTATTTGACCCATTAGGAATAAAAACATACTCAGGTGTGTAAGTACGATTCTATTTCAATCTGATCAAGTCTACGAAGAACCAGTAATACATCTACTTTTGGAAGAAATCATAATCGTCACTACTGTATTTACTCAAATACAAGATGAGGCCTTTCCCCCTCCTCAACTGGCATGGGGATCAAAGCCCCTTGTCTTATAACTGCATGCAAGAAAATTTCACTAAATCCATTCTCTCTCATTGAACTGCTGCCAAAAGCAGCATGTCTTCAGCACTGGAAACCAACTACGGAGTTAATAAACTGTAGCCAACACTGCATGACTACAAAATACATGGCTAGTATTGGGCAACCACGCTGACGGGAACCTTTTTTTTTTTGTGGCCCTTTAAAAAAAAAAACAGGAAGTTGCTCCCCTAGGAGGCAATGCGCACCAGGCCTGGTCCATCCATCATTGGAGGTACTGCAAGAGAAGAACCAGCACTCAGAACCCGCTCTCATACCCTTCCCTGGTGTCAAAAGTGCTGGTGGGAACCTACCACAAGGCTTTTAAGGAAATTTTTTCATGTCTCAGGTCAAATCAGCCAAATCAATTCCAAATCCATGAGTCATTCAAGAACCACAGAATCAATGAGTCAGAAGGGACCTAGACAGATCATCGAGTCCAACCCCCTGCCAGGGGCAGGAATGACACTGGGGGTGGGAGGGGTCATAAGACCCCAGCCAGGTGCCTATCCAGTCTTATCTTGAAGATTTCCAGGGAAGGTGAGAGCACCACCTCTCTGGGAAGCCTATTCCAGGCTCTGGCCACCCTTACAGTGAAGTAGTTCTTCCTAATATCTAACCTAAACCTATCCTCCCTCAGCTTGTGGCCATTGTTCCTGGTGACTCCAAGGGGGGCCCTGGTGAACAGACTTTCCCC